TATCTGATTTTCTATTTTTTTTTGGGAAAAAGTTATTCCACTTTTTGTTTTAAAACAAAAAAAAAAAACCCACGGACTTTTTGTGAAAAATCAAAAGGATTAAGTCCAGAAAGAAAAAAAACTCAACCTCGTTTTCTTCAAAAAAAAAAAATTAACAGGCTTAAACGGACTACCAGTTTAATTGCAGCAAATCCTGTTTAATAATCGGGCCTTTACGGGCCAGCCCCTTTAAAATATATTTACACTTAAACATATAAACGGAACTAAACGGTCTCAATCTCTACTTTATTTCGTTTGTATGTTTCTTTTTAATTGTTGGTGTTATTAAGTGGAGACTTAGTCTTTCTTTTCGACCCAAAAAAAAGTCTTCCTTAATAAGATTAAGAATTTCATCTACAACATGTAATCTTTGTGCAGAGGACACGAGGAAAGTCCTTTGATGCTTTGATTCTTATATTATCTTTGTGGTCTTTGGGGGTTAAAACTAATTACTACACCTGTTACATTCACTGGTTGTTTGTTTAATCTAATTTTTCAAATTCCAGAGTCTTCTATCAAATTCCTCATCTGTTTAGTTCAAAACATGGCAGAGGAATTTTCATAGAGAGAAGCTTGCTAAGAAAATGAGTCACGAGTTGATGAAAACTTAAAAAAAAAAAGGATTCGAGGACGTATGCACAAAGTCGTTCTTTTCTACGTACTTCTCAGGATGCCATTAGATGCCAATGACACCAAATTCAAGGTAAAACTTTATGTTTTGTTTGGTATTTTGTTACAATGACAAGTCTGTATAGAGTTGTTGTGTTACATGACATTTCAATTTAGTTTAATCATGTTGAGGTTTTAGATTCTGTTAAGTTGTTTGCTTTGTGAAGAAATTAAAAAGCGTTTTTTTCATTTTTCATTAAGCATATGGTAAACTTGTGTTATTATTAGAGACTATCATCTATTGGTTTGATGTATAACCTCTATGTCTTATTCTCCACTCTACAGTTTGGGAAATTTGTCATGTTCATGCAAACTTTGGAATCATTAGTAAAACATCGGATCCAATGAAAAACTATTATTACTATAATATTACTTGCATGGTGCGCGAGTTTTGTTTAACAATATTATTAAATTTGATGTAAAAAAATTGATTTTTATTTATTAGTTTAGTTTTTATGTTTAACAAAGCAACCAATTCTTTGAAGATACAAAATGACATTTGATATAAAATAATATAAAATATTATTTTTATCTATCTTGCATGAAAATATGAAAAGACTGTCAATCATTTAAATACCGTATTATTATTTTAAATATTTTTTTTAATACTTTCTTATCTACTTATAGTTTATCATTGAATAAATTAGGATTTTTAAATAACCGGTTACTATTTTAAAAGTTAAAAATTTCAATATTTTTCTATTATCTCTCTATAATATGATTCTTATCATTTCTATATCTTATTTATCTTCGTTTTGTGAGTTTATATATTTCTGACCTCCAAAAAACAATTCAGTTTTTATGTAATTTTCTCTTACAGTTTTTGTGTTTCTCATATATATATAGTTAGGTATTTAGTATTTTATTAAATTTTAGCAAAACAATAGATTATAATATTGATTAACTCGAAAACAAAAGTTTAATAGTATTGAAACTAAATCCGACTAATTGACTTATTTGCAGTTGTAAAATCAAGATGAATTGTGAAAGTCAACGAATATGATAAATAAAAATAACGATTTTTTCCAAAAAATAACCAAATAAAGTTAGAATCGGGTAAAAATTTTTTGAAATATAATTTGTCATGAATTTAAAAATCAAGAACTCAAAAATAAAATCGAAAAGTTTACTAAAATGATGTGATAATATTTCATTAATTTTAAAATTCACTAAATACATTCAATTGAAGTTGGAAGAATTTATATAATCATACTTTTATATTTTATGTTTCAAAATTTCACTTTTAATTCTTCCAATC